TGGCTCTATATATCCTCTGTACTCTCTTCTATCTCTATCTCTTCTTATCTTCTTCTACTATTTTTCTTTCTTTCTATTCTTATCTTTCTCTTCTTAATAAACTATCTTCTCTACTCTAATCTACTAATTCTTTTCTGCATCTTCTATCGTTACTTTTCTAATTTCTTTTCAGAGCTATTTCTTCTCTATCTGTTGTTCTATCATAACTTCTATTCCAAACCTATTCTTCTCTTCTAAGCTCAACTTCTTCAATGAGATTCTCCTACCAATCTAAATTTAATCTTCACTCTTTCTTCTATTCTTTCTCATCTACTCATAAATACTACTTCTATCTATTCTCTATATTACTTCTTTTATCTTTCTTCTTCTAGTCTACTACTATCTTACTTAAGAATTTAACTTCTAAACAACTTCTGCTCTACTTATCTCTCTATATTCTCTTTCTTTTATCTCTTCTCTACTTCTCTTTTCTCTTCTTAAACTATCTTCCCTTCTGATCTATCTCTTTCCTCTAAAGTCTCTCTTCTATGATCTCTTTCTGAACTTATCTCTTCTAAAAATTCTCCTTCTGCTTATCTCTACGCTTCTGGTGTCTTTCTTCTACTCTCGTGTAATCCTTCTTATTACTGTCTACTTACTTACTCTACGCTCTCTAAGGGCTCTCTATTTCTTCTCTCAGACTATCTTCTAACTATCTCTTCTTTTCTATCTAATTTCTTAAATTCTAATTTCTTTTTAAAACTTCTTTCTACTCTAACTAATTTGAGATTCTCTATTCTTCTAATCTACTACTAAACTCAAATCTCTTCTTGGAAGTCACAAATCACTTCTCTGGCACATCTTTTTCTATCTCTTTCTTCTATTCTACTCTACATCAAATACTTTCTATTCTTCTAATCTTCTATAAATAATCTACTCTTTAGTCTCTTCTTTCTCTTCTAATCTTTTCTACTACTGATCTTCTTAATCTATCTTTATTTTCTCTAACTATCTAATCTCTTTCTTCTATAGAATCTATAAAAGAATAATATCTCTTCCTTCTTTCTTCTTCATAATCTCTCTGCCTACCTCTAGTAAATATCATACAGACATGTATCTTCTGACCTCGAAATTCTTCTACTAATACCTTCTTTCTATCTCTAATACTCTTTTCTTCTTTTCTTCTTCCTATCTTCTAATTGTTCTCTTATCTTCGTTCTCTCTTGCTAAAGTTCTCTATCTCTCTCTTCTCTCTTCACTTTCTTAACTCATTCTTTTCTATTCTTCTAGACTTTCTATCTTGTCTCTTACTTCTGTCTCTTCTATACTTCAATTCTTCTAATGGAGTCTCTAACTCTTTTCTTCTTTATTTCTATTTCTTCCCTCTATCTTCTACTTTTCTTTTCTTCTATTTTTCAGCCTTCATCTACTTATAGCTCTATCAACTCTAAAATCTAATAATCTTATTTCTATTTCTCGGACTATCTTTTATCTTCTTCTCAAACTTTCTCTTCTAGAAACCTGACTAATTACTTTTTACACTTATTCTATAACTATTCTATCTCTCTACTATATTATTTGACTACCCTTCTTCTCTTCCTATCTATTCTTCTAAATTTCTATACTCTCTTCTCCTAACTTCTAATCTATTAACTACTTCTTCTTCTCTCTCCTTCCTACTTCTAATCTCTCTATCTTTTCTAGTTCTGAATCTCATCCTACTTCTCTACTACCCTCAAGCTCCTCTCTTCACTCTCTTTTCTGTTCTTCGGGCCTTCTCATTCTTCTCGACTCTGAACTTCTATAACTCTTCTCTGATTCTCCTTCTTCTCTTCTCTTATCTAATATTCTCCTTCTCTTTTCTCTTTCTAGCTTAGCTCTACTTCCTAGCTTTCAATTCTAATCTTCTCCTTTCTATCCTTATTCTAGCTTTATTCTTCTCTGTACTTCTCTAACCTTACCTGATTATCATGTCTTCTTGATCGCTTATAAATGCTTGTCTCTTTCTCTAATCTATCTTCTTTTCTCTTCTAACTCCTCTATCTTCTTTCTTGCTCTTCTATACTTCTCTCTTCTACTCTACTCTATCTTTCTTGAGTATCTTTCTATCTCTCTACTACTTACCACTGTCTGCTAAATTCTTACTTCTATCTGCTATCTTATGTTACTACTCTACCTTTCTATTCTGGCTCCTATCCCTTTACTATCTTCGTCTTCTACTATATATTCTCTCTCGTCTATTCTCTTATCTCTTTTATCTATGAGAATCTAAGTCGCTTCTTCTACTCTTTCTATCTCTGATCTTCTTCTCCTCTTCGCCTTGTTCTTACTTCTTCTTCTCATCTCTAACTATGTCGGCAATCGATTCTCTGACTATCTTCTCTTTCTTCTTTTCTTCTACTCTAGCTAAGTCTCTATCCTCTCTATAACTTCTCCTCTCTCTCAATGAACTACTACTTCTTCTTGTCCTAGAAACTAACTTAAACTAGACTCTACTATCTCTCTATCTTTCTTCACCGATCTACTCTTCTTAATCTAGAACTAATCTATCTTTCCTAATCTACTATTCCTGTAAAATTTTAACTAAATATCATAGCTAGTCTCTAATCTATCTCTTCTTTTCTCATCCTACATGCAAATCTTCTTCTTACTACTTATCTACTCTCTACTCTTTCCTGTCTTGTTCAAATCTGCTAATTTTCTATTCTTCTTTAGCCCTGTCTTCTTCTTCTTCTTTTCTATATCTCTATTCTGGACTTCTTAAACTCTCACTTCTTCCTAAAATCTATTTTCTAGATTTTCTGTTGTGACTATAAAACTAAACTATCTTTCTTCTGACTTAATCTCTTCTTCTTAACTATCTCTAATCTCTCTTACTTTCTTTCTCTCTTCTTGACAACTTCTATCTCCTACTCTAACTTCTTCCCCTTACTATAATCTCTCTCTCTTTCTGATCTCTGCTTATCTAGAGTTTATACTACTCGGAATTCAATGATCTCTAATTCTTTTATCTTATTCTCATCCAAACTGATACTCCTTCTGTCAATTGTATTTATCTTCTCTCTTCTCTTCCTTTCTGTACTTGTGAAATCTTGTGTAATCTCTCTTCTTAAACTATCTTTCTCTAACTTATCTTTCGATCTTTCTTCATTTCGTCTTTCTTATTTTATCTTACTTAATCCTCTCTTCTCTAATCTACTTCTCTTCCTTCTCTCTTATCTGTCTATTCTCTATCTCTCTCTTAATAAGCTTACTGAATTACTAACTTCTAATCTTTTCTTCATCTAAACTTCCTAATCTATCTGCTTGACTTCTTAATGCTCTTTGGCTCTTCTAACATCCACCTTCTAACATCCTTGTCTTCTACTCTACCTAATACCTAATATTAACTTCTTCTTCACTATCTAAAATTTCTTCTAACTCTTCTACTTGGTCCTATTCTACCCCCCTTTCTATTCGAACTATCTAATTCTTCTATCTTCTTTGTCTTATATCTTCTTACTTCTATTCTTATCAGCCTCTACTTGTGAATCTATTCTCTTCGGTTCTCAACCGATCTACTACTCTCTTATATCTCTCTAATTCTCTCTAAATGGCTTATCTAGCTTCTGAACTATATCTTTCTATAACACCTTAATTTCTAGCTTCACTCCTTCTTATCTACTTTCTAGACTCTTTTTCTATCTTCTTCCTTTCTTTCTCTACTATACTTCTACTATTATGACTCTCTCTAAACTTCTCTCTTTCCTATTCTTCTTTCTTTCTTCTTTACTTCTAATACTTAGTTCTACTCTCATACTTCTTCATCTCTCATGCTTCTTATATGTCTGCTACGAGAATCTTTTCTCTCTATGTTCTACTTTTATCTTCTTATCTTCTTTGTGTGTAAAGTCCTTTTCTACATGCTACTTCTCTCTTCGACTCTAATAACTCTTCTCTAAACTCTTTAATTTCTACTTCTCTTCTCAACTCTACTTTCTATACTTCTTGACTTCTTAAATCTTCCTTCTTCTATCTTCTCTACTTATATCTATCTACCAAATCCTGTTTTCTTAAAACCTTTCTGAAAGTCTTCAATCTAAAAAGACTGTGTGATCTTTATCTCTTATCTCATAACTTCTCTAAATCTTCTTTCTTTCTTCAAAAGGTCTTTAAACTTCTTTCTTCTCATCTCTACTTTAAGATATCTGTGCTACTTCTATCTTTCTTCTAACTTCTAAATTTCTTCTCCTATCTACCTTTTCTATTCTCTCCTCTTCCCCCTCCCTTCCTACTCTGCTACTTATCCCTTCACTCTTCTACGTCTATAACCTCTATCTATTCTATCTACGTCTTCACTTTACTCACCTTCTTCTCTTCTTCTCTCTGGATCCACTCTTACTACTTAGCGTCTATCTTCTAATTTACACTCCCTATTCTTCTATCTACTACGGCTCAAACTACTACTTTCTTTCTAACTTCTTCTCTCTTTACTTAAATCTTCTCTCTTCCTTCTTTCTACTTCTTATCTCTCTTCTAATCTTCCTTTTACTTATCTTCTCTCTTGATCTTCTTCAAATCTTCAATCTACTTCTTCTAGTCTACTATCTGTCTACTTATTCTAAATCTTTCCTGCTTAGTTATTTCTTCCTTTAAACTCTTTTCATCTCTATAAGTTTTTCTTTCTGAGGGCCGCTTCTCTTCTTTCTTCTTCTTCACATTTTCTAGACTTCCTCTAACTTAGAATTTTACACCTAACTCTCTTCTATATCTCTCTTCTTCTCTTCTGTTTTTCTCTAAATAACACAAATCTACTTCTAACTCTTCTACTGTTTCTCTTCTTCTCTCTTTCTCTAAAGTAAACTGTATTCTTAACTTCTTTCTGAATACCTCTCTTAGTCATCTACTATATCTCTTCGTTTCTTCTATCTAATGTGACTTCTCTTTCTTAAATTCTAAATTTTCTAATATTTATTGGTCTCTTTCTACTACTCTCTTTCGTCTGAAATTCTGATTTCTTCTTTCTTCTAAATTCTCTTCTCTTAACTCCTTCTCTCAACTCTCATCTTCTTTCTTCTTCTTTAAAATCTTTTCTACTGTTATTCTCTTCATTCTACTAATCTTTCTTCTTAATCTCTAAATCTACTTTTTTTTTCTCTGATAATTCTATCTACTGGAACTTTTGTTTCTATGTTCTCTCTAATATCTCGCTTCTGTCTCTCTAACTTTCTTCTTATTCTCTAACCTCTTACTAGCTGATAACTTTCTCTAATCTTTCTCTTCTTTTCTAACGTCTATCTATCTATCTCTAGCACTAAATCTACTTCTACTACTCATTTTCTATAGCTTATATCTAATCTCTTACGTCTTTACTATTTCTAATCTAATATCTCATCTGGCTCGCTTCTATCTATCTATCTCTAAATCCTCTTATTCTCTTAATACTACTTCTATTTAGATCTTCCTACATATTCTTCTTCTTTTCTTTCTAGACTTACTAAAGTTTCTTCTCTGTGCCTTTTAAATCTCTTCTAATATTTCTCTTCTAATTGTCTTATCTTCTCTTACCTCTCATTCTTCCCTAATCTTTTCTATATTCCTCTTCTTGCGTCTTCTGCTCTCGCTAACTACTCTTCTGAAGAACTTTCTTACTTCTTCTCTATATCTCTCTCTCTCTCTATCTTCGTTCTTACAATGACTATCTTTGTCTTTTGACTTTTCTACTTTTCTTAAAGATAACAATCTTACACTGTCTTCTCTTTCTAAACATAGCGATCTTCTTCGCTATCAAACTTATCTACTTGTGCGTACTTCTGTCGTTTCTCTTCCTCGCCTATTCTTTTAGCTTCCATTCTCTCTCCCCCCCTCTTCTACTCTGGTCTTACTCTCTACTGATCTTAATCTTTCTCTATCTTCTATTAAACACTACTTCTAAAACTATCTTTTTAAAAATCTATGTAGAATCTGTCTATCTTGTCTATACTTTTCTCTTTCTGACTCTCTTTCTATCCTTTTTTCTCTTCTAAACTTCTTATTCTATAGCTAAATACTTCTCTTCGCTTCTTCTGATTCCTGCCTTCTTCTACGATACCTGTGCTTCTTCTTGATTCTTCTCTATCTTGTCACTATATCTCTTTCGACCTATCTAGATCTAATTCTCTAATCGCTTCTGCTCTACTAGTATACTATCTCCTCCCTAAATTCTTATGCTCTTCTTCCTCTTTCTTCTTCTATATCTAGATACTACTTAATTATCTAGCTATACACTATCTTGGAAACTCTATCTATCTTCTCCTCTTAATATCTTTCTCTTTCTGCCTCCTGGACATTATTACTCTAGTCTCGTTTCTATCTATCTTCTTTCTCTTTTCTTTTTCTTTCTTCTCTCTTCAGCTCACTTACTATGCTAATACCTTGCTCTCAATCTCTGTCTTCTGTCTCTTCTAGAGCTCTAGCCTATCTGTGGCTTTCTTACTTCTTATTTCTATGACTCTTCTGTCCTTCCTATCAGCTTCATCTTCTCGTTCTCTAATCTACTCTTCTTCTCTTCTTCTTCTGTCTCTTCTTAGACTATCTTCTTCTTCTCTCCTCTCTCTTCTTCTATCTACAGCTCTTAGAACTTCTCTATCTATTCTTATTCTGCTAAAACTTACTACTTGCTACTTAACCTTGCCCCTTTACTTCTTCTTCTTCTTTCTGTTGTCGTCTCTTAAACCTTTCTTCTAATCTCTCTATCTAGTCTACTTGAATTCTACTCTTTTTTTTCTCTAATTTTTTTTTTGGAATCATTCTCTCTAACGACTATTTCTGTTTCTTGATAACTGTCTGCTAAATAAATCTACCACTCCTCTTATCTAATTTTCTATCTATACTCAACTTGTCTCGTACTCCTTAAATCTTAGCTGAACTTTAACTTCTCTTCTTCTATCTGCTCTATTGCTCTCTGAATCTCTCTTCTCTAACTTTTCTTACTTGATGTACGTAACGGTTTAGCTTTTTCTTCTCTCTATCTAGATCTTCTATTATCTCTTGCTATAACTTGTTGTGATATGTTATGAATCTCTTCTTTTCTGCTCTTCTCTACTCTCTACTTATAATCTACTTCAGCTATCTCTTCTATCTATCTCTTATCTTCTAAAACTTTCTCCGCTTTTCAACTCTCTCTTCTTCATAGCTATCAGTCTAATCAAATAGACCTTACGAGCCTTAACTTTTCTTTTCACTAAAAGGGCTAAGTCTCCTATCTTAATTCTACCTGCTACTGATTCTCTACTCTAATTCTAATCTATGAACTCTTTTTCATCTAAATTACTCAAAACCTCTTATACTTCATTCTTCTCACTTTCTTAGTCTTCTAAATTATCTACACTACTACTATAGCTTTCCTTCTTTCCTTCTAACCTCTCTTACTAACTTCACATGCTACTCTTCTTCTTCTTGTGCTATTCTTAATCTTCTAATCTACTACTCCTCTCTTCTCATACTATCTAACTCTAACATTCTTCTATTCTTTCTCTGTCTCTTCTCTTTATTTCTCTTTTCTCTTTCTCTTCTAACTCTGGTCTTCTCTCTCTACTCTTGTCTTATCTTAAAACTCTTCTTCTTCTCTAGGTCTTCTCTTCTTCTCCTCTTTCTTTCTTCTTCTGTCTAATTCTATCTTCTCTTTCTAGTCTAATTCTCTGTCTTCTACTTTCTCCTTTTCTAATCTACCTGTCTATTCTTCTCTCTTACTATCTTCTTTCTTAAGCTTCTAGTTTTTCTTCGCTAACTCTCTCTTTAAGCTCTTCTGTCTTCTCTTCTCTTTCTCTTTCTACTTATTTCTATTCTCTTTATACTAACTTTCTGTCTTCGAATATTCTAATCTTCTCTTCATCTCTCTAATGTTTCTAAAAAAATCTTCTTTCCTCTCTTCTGCTCTTAACTGCACTCGTCTGTTCTACTAAACTCTTTCTACATTTAAATCTCATCTATACTGTCTTCTTACTCTCTTCTATAATCTATCTCTTCTATCTAACTTTCATCACTCTTCTTCTAAACTAACTTCATCTTACCAAACTGCTTCTAATCAACATCTCCTTCTAGGTCATTCTAACTCTCTCTTATTCTACTATCTCTTACTATTATATCTTCTTATTTCTTTCTATCTTCTTCTCACTTCTTCTTCTTCTTTCTGTATCTTACTCTATCTTTTAGTATAAATTCTATCTGTCCTGTCTTCTACTTCTTCTTCTCTAATATCTCTCGACTCTCTATCTTCTTTCTCTGACTCTACCTATTCTTCTCTTATATCTGTCCTCTCTTCTATCTCTCGCTTAGTTCTGTCCACTCTGGCTCTAAGTCTATCTCTCTCTTCGTACTACCTGCTACTCTTCTACTGCTTCTGGTTCTCTTCTAAGATGTTTCTGTCACATCTCTATATCTCTACTCTGCTGTAAATGTCTTAAGCTAACTAATATCTCTGATAATCTCTATCTCTAATTCTCTCTTCTTCACTTCTCTCTCTTCTCTAAACTAATCATATCTTCTCCCTAAAACTTTCTTCTCTCTTTGATATCTTCCTGCTCTCTCTGTCTCTTCTCTTCTTCTTCTCTTCTTCTTACCTGTCTTTCTCTCTCTTTGTTTACTCTCTCTCTACTATTTCTCCTACTCTTCTGAACTCTTCTCTGCTCTGTTCGTCTGCACTATCTCCACTGCTTTCTTTCTTCTTCTCTCTTTCTCTTCTAAATTCTTCTCTGTATCTTCTTCTAATTCTATCTGTGTCTACTACTTATCTAAGTCCTCTTCTCTAAGCGCTCTTTCTATTTCTTTCTAATGTTTCTCAATACTTTCTTCTTATTGATTTCTTCTTTAGTCTACTCCTCTCTCTACTTCTTTCTCTTCTAACTAACTATTCTTTCTTTACTTATCTCTCTCTATCTTCTTTTCACTTCTAAATTCTAACAATCTCTTCTCCTATTCTTCTTCTCTACTATCTAATCTTGTCTTTTCTCTAACTCTTCTATATCTCTTTCTCTAAATCTACTTCTTACTTCTCTCTTCTCTTCTTCCTTCTTGCCTTCTCTTTCTTCTCATCTTACTGTGCTTCTCTTTTCTAATTTCCCTACCTCTATATCGTTTCCTTCTAATCTTTATCTTCTCTTCTCTTTCTTCTCTTCTCTATCTTCTTCTCTTACTTACTTGCTTCTTTCTTGCTTTCTCTTTCTACTCCTTTAGCTTCGTTCCTTCTTTCCTTTATTACTTACTTCTTCTCTCTCTTTTCTTTGTTTCCTTCTTCTTCTCTCTCTTCTACTCATACTCTCTTGTCTCTTCTTTGCTCTTTTTTTCTTTTTTTACCTTCTTCTGCTCTTTGCTTCCTTTCTCTTTTTCTACTTTTCTTTCTCTCTCTTTTCTACTTCTCCTCCCTCTTTCTCTTCTCTCTTTCTTAATATGTTGACTTTCTTCGTTTTGCGCTAGTGCTTTGCTTCTTTCTTCTCTCTTCCTTCGCTTCTCTGTCTTTTTCTACTCTTTATCTTTTTCTCTCTCTTCTCTCTATCTTTCTCTCTTGTCCTCTTTCTTTCTTTCTCTCTTCTTTCTTCTCTCACTAACTTTTACTTCTCTCTTTTCTTTTCTCTCTCTGGTTCTCATACTCTTTCTTCTGCTTTTTCCTTACTCTATTATCTTCTTTTTGTACACTTTACTCCTTTTCTTCTTCTCTTTTTTTTTTTCTTTTCTCTCTTCTTTTGCTTGTTCTTCTTCGCATTCCTCTTTCATACTTCTCTCTTCTACTTCTTTTTCTCTTTTCTCCTTTCTTCTTACTATCTTTTTTTTTTTTTCTTATTTCTGACTTTCTTCTCTCTCTCTTCTTAACTTTTTTTCTTTGCTTTTCGTTCGTGTTTTTTTTTCTCATTGTTTCTACTCTCTTTTTCTTGTTTACTTTCTATTCCTCTTACTTATCTTCTCTTCTCTTCTTTTCTATCTCTTCTGCTTCTTCTTTCTTTATTCCTCGCCTCCTCTTTCTTTCTACTCATTCTCTTCTTCTTTCTGCTTCTTTCTTTTTAGCTCTTCTCTCTTTTTGTCCTACTTTCTCTTGCACTCTTTTCTCTCCTCGTTTTTCTATCTTCTCTACTCTTTCCGTCTCTTACTAGTTCTCTGACCTTACTTCTTTTTCTCTTTTTTTCTCTTCATCTCTTCTTCTTTCTTTTCTCTTTCTCTCTTCTCTGCTTCTTTTCTCTTTTTTTTCTCTCGTTCTGTTCGCGTTTTTTTTACTGTGGCTGGGTGTATGTTTTTCTCTCTTTTTTTTTTCTTCTTTCGTCTCGCTTTTTTCTTTATTGCTTACCTCCCCTCTTACTCTCTCTTCTTTATCTCTCTTCCTTTACTGCGCTCTATCTGTTAACTTTATTTTTTCCTTCTTTTTTTCTTCTTTTTACTTCTCTTTTGACCTTCTTACTCTCTCTCATGCTTTACTTCTTCTGCTTATCCTTCTCTCTCCTCTTTTCGTCTCTTCATTTATTTTTTCTCTTTCTTTCTCTCTACTTCTCTCTTCTATTCTCTTTTTTCTTTCTTCTGTTACTCCTTTTCTCTTCTCTCTTCTCTTACTCTACGTCTCTCTTTCTTCTTCTTTTCTCTCTTATCTTCTTTCTCTTTCTTCTTTCTCGCTTTTTTCTGTCTAGCTTTTCTCTTTGTCTACCATTCTCTTCCTTCTGCATTCATTTTTCTCATCGTTTTCTTCTTTCGTTTACTTTCCTCGTATCTTTTTCTTCTTCTCTTCTTTTCTTCTCCTCCTTCTTCTTTTTAACTTTTTGTTTAGTCTTTATTCTTCTTCTCCTACTTAAGCTTCTTCTCTCTCTCATTTGACTTTTTCTTTTCTTTCGCTTTCTCTTACTCTTATCTCTCTTTCTTATCTTCATCTCCCTCTGATCTGTTTTTCGCCCCACTTGTTTTTCTTTTGCTCTCTTCTTCTTCATTTCGTTCTTTTCTCTGCTTCATTTTTCTTTTCTCTTTTCTGTCTTTTACTCGCTCTTCTCTATACTGTCTTCTCTCTCTCTTTATTGTTTTTCTTCTTCTCTCTGTTCTTATTACCTCTCTTCCTTATCTCTTCTCTTTCTCTTGAGGGACCTCTGCTGTCGCGGTGTTGTTCTCTCTGCCTCTTCTTCTTTCGCTTTTTCCGTTCTTGTTTCTTTCTTCTCGCGTTCTCTTCTTTGTCTTGCTTCGTCTTTTCTTCTTTGCGTTCTCTTCTCTTACTTTTCTCTACTCTTTTCTCTATTGTATTTTTCTTCGCGTTTCTTGCTTCGCGCTTTGGTAGCTGTCTTCGTTTTTTGCTCTGACTGCTTCTCTTCTTTTTCTTTCCTTTTACTCTGTCTGCTCTCGTTGTTTCTCTCCTTTCTCTGACTCTCACTTCGTTCACTTCTTCTACTTCTTCTTCTTTTCTTACTCTCTCTCCTCTGCTTTTCTTTCTTCTCTTTTTCTTCTTCTTTCTGCTCTTCTCGCTGTTCTTCTCTTTTCTCTTCTTTCTTTCTTGCATTGCTATTTCTGCTTCTTACTTACTTACTCTTTGTCTCTTCTTTCTCTTCTTTTCTTACTCTCTCTCTGTTCTCTCTTTCGTTCTGCTCTTTCTTCTTCTGCTCTACTATCTTTCTCTATTTCTCTTCTCTTCTCTCTCTTCTTCTTTTCCTTCTCGTCTCTCTTTCTTCGCTTTTCTTTAACTTCTTACTTCTTCCTTACTTCGTTCTGTTCTATCTTCTTTCTTTTTCTCTCTTCTTTGTTTTTCTTTCTTCTCACATTATCTCTTCTTCTTCTCTCGCTTCTCGCTTCTTTTCTCTCTCTTTTGTTCTCTCTTCTCTTTTTCTACTTCTCCTTTTATCTTCGGCTCTCTCTCGTTTGCTCTTTCTCTCTTTTCCTCTTTTCTTCTCTCTCTTACCTCCTTTCATTGTACTTACTTCGTGCTCTCCTTCTCTCACTCTCTACTCTCTTTTTTCTCTTCTTCTCTTTCTCTCTTCTTCTTCGCTACTCTCTCTTTTCTCTCTTGTTCTCTTCTTCTATCCCTGCACTACTTCTTCTTCTCTACTCTATTCTACTCGTCTTTTTCTTCTCTTTGTCCATCTTCTTTTCTTTCTTTCTATTCTCTTTTTTCTTACTTCTTTCTTCTCTTCTTTATGCTTTTCTCTTTCTTTTGGACCTTTTATTTTTTTTTCTCTTATGACGCTTTTCTTTTTTTAATCTTCTAGTCTACTCTCTCCTTCTTTCGCTCCTTTCTTTGTTTTAATTCTCTTCCTCTGTTCTTCTCTCTTTCTTCTCTTCTACTCTCTTCTTGCCTCTTTTTCTCTCTCTCTCTCTCTCTTCTTCTTGCTCTCTTCTCTTCTTCTCTTCTCCTCTCCTCTCTCTTTCTCTTTCTCTCTTTCTTCTCCTCTCTCTCTTCCTCACTCTTCTCTCACTCTTCTCTTCTCTCTCTCTCTCTTCTCTTCTCTTCTTCTCTCTCTCTCTTTCTTCTCTCTTCTACTTCTCTCCCTCTTCTCTCTCTCTTCTCTCTTCTTCTCTTCTTTCTCCTTCTTACTTTACTCTCCTCTTCTTCTTTCCTTCTCTTTCTCTCTCTTCTCTCTCTCTTCTCTCTTCTCTCTCTTTCTCTCTCTTTCTCTCTTCTCTCTCTCTTTCTTCTCTTCTTCTTTCTCTTCTCTCTCTTCTCTTTCTCTTTTCTTTTCCTGCTATCTCTCTCCTCTACTTTCTCCTCTCTTTCTCTCTCTTCTCTCCTTCTCTCTTCTTCTTTCTTCTCTCTCTCTTCTCTTCTCTCTTTCTCTCTCTCTTCTTCTCTCTCTCTCTTTTCTCTCTCTCTTACTTCTTTCTCTCTTCTCTCTTCTCCTCTGCTCCTCTCTCTCTCTCTTTCTTTTCGCTCCTTTTCTCTCCTTTCTCTTTTCTCTTTCTTTCTCTGTCTACTTTACTTCTCTTCTTCCTCTCTCTCTTCTCTCCTCTCTTCTTTACTTCTTTCTCCTTCTCTTCTTTCTTTCTTACTCTCTTTACTCTTCTTTCTCTTTTCTTCTTCCCCTCA